TGTGATTTTCCACTCTCTCATCTGAGATAATTAGGGAAGTATAGTAAAGCACTCGACATGAAACATAATGTATTCATTCAATTGGGAAACATTTTATGGTGAAGCAGCAGACTAGTCAGACATTACTGTTTAGTTGTGTATTTGTTAACCTTCTTCATCCCTAGAATAAAATAGGAGCCCACAATGCAAATGCTAAGAATAATCATCTCTTGCCAACAGCAAGTCTCATTTGGAATTAAATCATCATCCTGAGCACATGAAACTATTCTGTTATTTAAAAGAAGTTGTCCTTCTGTCTTCAATCCATAGATTTGTATCTTGTAAATTTGTTACAGAAGGGTATGGGCACATTTGGAAAATATACATGTACTCAGTATGACTTTCATTTCGATTTGTATGAGAAACTTACTTATATGAAGGAAATGTGAAGGACTTCCAGTTTCAAATTGAAGTAATTTTTCAAACAAACTCTATGAAATGTTACTTTGACACACCAGTGAAGGAACTTGATTAGCCTTTAAAGCAGCGTGCAATTCGTCAGGGACTCAAGGGATCTCATTTGGTCACTTTATTCTTTTCTATCAATTAGGAGACATAGCAACAGAAATTTCAGCATAATTCACAGATGTCTGAGGTTATGATATGTGAAAACTATAAGCAGTATTGTCCAGCCCAGAGTTCAGTTTGCAGTAAGTTTTATTACAGAACAGAGTGGTTACTAAGCAGAATGCTCTGTTGCATTTGGTGCAGTGTTGATGTGTCTAATGTTTGTTCAAAAGTATGCAGTTTGAAATTTGATAGAGCACTGTGTTTAATGACTGAAGCTTTCTGTGCATTTTTTGGTCTCTATAAGAAAGTGCCTTGTGATGTTCATAAACAGGCCATGACATCTTCCTTAACATTCATGGAGGAGTGGATTTCTCCTGGAGTCTGTGGTTCGTGGACCTCAGTATTCAGAGAGAGTGCATTCCACCTCCGGGAGTCTTGATCCAACTTTCGGCAAATTCGGACACAAATTACAACTACGTCCCTTCAGTAAAAGTATTATAAGTATTTCTAAATAAGTGTTACTAATAGTTTCCTTTGTATTCAGTGAGCTGAAGTGAGTTAAATAATTACTAGGTGCAAAAGTCTGAAGTGGTGAGTGTGATTGCAAGGGAAGATTCTTCCTGCCCTGCCCGAGCCAGACCCATATAAGACCCAGGGATAAGAACTCACCTCTACAAATTACAGAACAGAACCCAGATACTCCCATCTTTCCCTACTTGTGAGACCCTTAATGGTAGTACCGAAACCGAACTCTCGCCTACCAGCACCAACAACGAAAATCTTCCTCCCTTCCCACCTAACTTGTCGCCATTCACGAGAAGAGGGAGGAGGGCAGTTAAAGGGATGGGGATAGAAGTGGAGACCAACGTAAAGGGCCCAACGAAGTGAGCGGTTAGATTACTGCTTAACGATTTTGAACATAAAAGATAAAGTGTTAAGAGTGGCCAGACATTAACCATTTAAAAATTGTCACTTCTGACATAAATAAGCTATAGGCCAGAAATCATTAATGTATTATCAGCAGGAAAAATCTGTTGGAGTCTGTCGAGTTAGGATTATTTTACAATGACATGTGTCTTCTTGAAATCTTGTAGAAGATGGTAATGATCTGCGGCCCCCTCCTCTGTTCAGAAGATTGCAGTTAACAAATTGCGAATCTGCTGATTCCTCCACATGTGCTCCTGTAGCAGGCTGTCACTCCTTCTGGGGGCGCATCAAGTCTATCCACTGCAACCGTACCTTGGATCCACAGAGTAAGTCTTGCACTACTGACAAATCTAATCTACCAGTGCAGCTGATACCTTATCAAATTAATTTAGAAATAATCAGTGCTTACTGTATATGTGTATATTATTTGTTGGGCAACAAGATCACAAATCTATCATAGACATTCACAGAAGAAAGTTGAAGGGAAGGGCTTCCAGATCCAGGATTGATTTTCTTATAACTTATATATTTTAAAGTAACCTAAGTCTTCAAAGAGCACCTTTTTACTTTCATAACCCTGCATGAATTGCTAAGTACTAGTAGGGTTTTACATTAGTTTTAGCTGCATTTGTATGTTACTAAAATCATTTAATTTAATTCCCCATTGGCAAGTAAACAGAATGTATGTACTTATAAGAAGCAATTTTCCATTCGTCCTTCGCTCTTCCATCTCTGGGTTTTAAGATCGCCGTCTACTCGGGTTTTTGATAGATGTTGCGTACATTCATGGGTTAAACAAAATCTCCAATATTTCCTGCTGCAGTTTACAGTAAGAATGGAACTCTGAAAATAAAATACTTTGTCTTCAATAAATATAACATAGGTGTAAGTGGAAGTGCAATTTGCAGTAAAACAATGTAACACACTCTTCAGTCATAGACAGGTAATATAAGTACTTGATTTAACTACAGCAGTTGGACAAAATAATGGAAACACTATAGATACTGTACACATTTCTTTATCAATATGGTGTTGGACCACCTTTTACTTCATTACAGCCACAGTCCTTCATGGAATGGACTCCTAGAAAGTTTTGAACAGTCTCTGGCAGAAATTTATCCATTCGTCTTGAAGAACATCTGAGCCCCACTCTAGTCTCCATAAGTCACCAGAATGGTTCAATGCTGTTTACATCTCGTGACTGTGCTGGCCAGGGAAGACACTGAACTTTACCTTCATGCTCTTCAAACCATGACCCAACAGTTCCAGCTGTGTGAGTGGGGGCTCTGTCATCTTGGAAAACAGCATTGTTGCTCAGAAAACATGGGGTGCACCTGATTACCCAACTTATCCATGTACTCCCTTGCAGTAATTTGGCCATGAAGGGTAATAATGGGAACAACAGATTAATGTACCATGATATTGCTGCCCAAACCACTACTGAAACTCCTCCGTGTTTCACTACTGGAACAAGGCTTTCCGAAGTACAGACTTCCTTGGCCTTCTTCAGACAACTCTTCACTCTGTGTAACCTACACATTGCACTAGTTCTTAAGTCAAAATATTTCAGTGCTATTGCATATTTCATCGTTCACACTAAAATACATGCGTAAGATTTGAGGTTTTCACGGCCGTGAATATGAAGAAAGCAGTCTTCTGGGATGTGGCATCGTGTAGATGTGGTGCTAACCGACGTTTCGGAGGAACGTATCGCCTCCATCTTCAGGGTAGAAGGGAAAAATAAGAAATCTGCAAGCGAAGAGACCGTGAGAACCAGTACAAGCAGACTGCTTGTACAGACAAGCGGCGGTTATTCTGTCGATATCATTCACTTGCTGATTACAGGCCACAGAGTTTGTTTTGCTTGTTTTTTTTGTCTCCGCACTGAGATTTTGTTACTGACAGAGATACTGTTTAATTTCTTATATTTGTGTTCTTAAATCCATCTAAAATGCACTGCATGATATCAGTTCTGTTAAGTGTGAAATATGAGATCATAACTGTATTTTAAAAGTTTCTGATGATGAGGCCTTATGTATCCTGAGCATTGAAAATAGTAACTATTTTGTATGTATAATATGGGAGTTGAATGAAATTTGAGGTTCCCATACAGGTGAAAATTTTGATTGTGGTTCTCTGGATTATGATGCTGTGTGGTCTTGTAGGTGGTTATGAGTATTTTGGAAGAACCTGTTGCCTCCATGTTTATGACAGAAATGTCTACAAAACACTAGTAACCACCTTCAAAAATTCATTGCTTCATATTCCAAAAGGCCACAATTTTAAATCTATACAATCTCATTCACTGTNATGGTGGGATTTTTTTTTTCTTGGCACTACAGCCCCAGTGGGCTTAGGCCTGCCTCCATGAACTTCTCCGTTTCGGTTTTTCTAGATCTTACACAATCGGTAGGACTCCTTGGGCTGGTGGTCAGCTCATCACAAGGCCTCTACCTGTACACAAACACAGAAAAACGCGCACACACACAAACTAAACATCCATGCCCTGAGTGGGATTCGAACCCATGATCCCAGTTTCCAAGCGAGCGAAGACAGTACATGCCTTAGACTGCTCGGCTACCGTGACCGGCAATGGTGGGATTTAAATATTTCCAAAATAGCATAGCTCATATTTTGAGTTGCTCTGTGTTACCGTTGATACAAAATGTGTACAGTTTTCTAAATTCTAATATGGTAAATCATGTTGTTATGGGAGTGGGGTACAGTGGGGTTATTTTGCCTGGTCTGTGTGCATCTCTTATTCGGCTGAAATATTCAGACCTCTTTAGAAAGCCTCTCATATGGATAAAGTCCTACACAATTTCATTAAGAATATTGTAATTTTTAAGATAGATCTCACATAATTTTATAAAACTGTATACATTATAATAGCTGAAATATGGAGAGTTGTATAGATATTGAAATCAGATGATTGTTACATCTATTATATAGTATTATAAACTAGAAATTATAATTTAGGCCTGTTACTGTTGATTTTACAATGTTCAGTGAGATGACAGCCTGTACATTTTATTGTGTATGTGGTAGCATCCCAGTAACTGGAGATATTTTCATACATATTTCAGTGTTTGTGTAACCATTAACTTGAATTCAGAATGTAGGAATTCCTACAGCCTACTTGAAGAATAACATGAATACCTCCTAATGGGTGAGGAAAGATTATTTCTGACACAGATACTGGGTTTTTGGACCTTTTCCATCATCTGGATTCTAAATAACTGAGAAAAAACACAACGTTTCAGAAACTGGATTGTTTGAGGCTATCTCTTTCTAAGGGACCCAACAGAGTAGGTGTCTTCCCTCACCGAAGGACGGATACAGTTGCAGTTTCTGAAACATTGTGTTTTTTCTTAGTTATTTAGTATCCGAACAATGGACAAAGTCCAAAAACCCAGTATCTCTGTGTGTTATACACCATTGTCAGAACCCTATAGTATCTAAGATTATTCCTTGTTCATTTGATTGGTCCTTTTAAAATATAGACTCTTATTACTGTGATATTTTCAAAAGTAGAAGCGCTTATGTAGTGCATTATTATTTCATCCAAACAGTTTGGTTTCAGAATTTTTATTGATTTAACTGTGTACAGAGAATGTTATTTACTATGGTTTCCAGGAAATACTTAAAATCCAGTTTGTTTATATTTTCACTTACGATTATCCGTACCTTTGTGGATTTAACATGAAGTCTGACTTGCTACAATGTCATTCATTTTTGTGCCATCAATTTCATGAAACACTTTCCAAAAACTACACACATCATTTCTGAATACATTCATTCATAATAGTCTGACCTGTGATATGAAAACCACGATCTTTAGAAGAGTAATTAAAGTTCTGTATTTTCTTTATGATCCTGTAGTTAATGAATGTCAGCTGTAGTGATGGAATACTTGTTATTAACACCTGCAATGTTTGTGTTCACCACAGCATCACCCTCTAAGTTAACCTGTGGGCCATTCCCAATAGGTTCAATTTCTTCCCTGAAATCACAAACAAGTGCAGAACAGGTTAGAAGGCTCTTAAACAAGGCTTCTTAAATTCATACTGCAAAAATCACAATTAACTATGTTCAGACTGGGTTTGATTCTGAGCCAATCCGTAAAACATTTCTCACTAAAAACAACTGGGATGTATTTGTTGGAGTGAGACCCACCTAAACTTCTACTGCCAGAAAATGATTTTAATGAACAGTTTTTGATATTTATAGTATTTTAATTAAGGGGGCATTAACCTGCAATGCTATAAAAATCACACATTCTATTAAACTTTGCCTCATAAATCAGGTTTTCATGCTATCTTCACACACCTATACCTATTCAACAACGTCTATTCTTTTGATATACCATATCCAGAATTATCTTATTCTGTAATTGTTAATAAATTGTTATAAATAATTTAACACATTATGATAAACAATGTACCGTTTCTCATTAACTACTAACTATCCAGTTCTGAAACTTTTGTTACATTTAGAAAACAAGGGTATTTAAAAAGTGAATCATTTAGAACTTGCATCTTGCCTCTCATTCCAAATTTTAAATTGTTTAAACAAATTATATAATTTTCTATTGTTTTTATTACTCTAAAAAATGTTTTTCTCAAAATTACATTTCTAAATGTTTCAGATTCTTCTAGTATACATGACGGTGAACCACAAAAAATTTCAAGTCAATAGGTTGATTAGTTTCTGAGAAAAGGTGCATTCTATCAATAAAACTGAAGTTTGCGGGAAAAAGCAAAAAACAGAAATGCTGCATCTTCATATTATAATTTTGTATTCTGGTCTTTCTTTGATACAATTAGTGTTCTCCTGCTCCATAATCTGCCTCCTTTTGCTCCTCTTCATCATCTTGACCTCTAGCTGCCTTTCTTTTCTTTCTTCTCTCCTGTTGGGCACCACATTTTGTCCTGAAATCTGCTTGCAGAATTCTCACTTCATCCAGTTTGTGCAATGTTGTAAGACACCAAACTCCAGGAACAATTCCCATCTTGTTCAGAACTTTTGCCCTTGCAATATTGCCATCACTGAATCAAGCTACAGCAGCATCAACAGCTGTCTCAACTGTAAACGTGGATGCAAAACCTGTCTTAGGGCATCCCTGCCGAATCACACCACTGAGTGACTCGTTTACATTTTGTATTTTGGAAACATGTCCACGCCGCATCCAGGTACCATCCGCAGTCACAGCGATATCACCCTCACCATCATTTACAACTTTACATTCTGCAGAAGCCCTCTTCATACTGTCTTCTGCTCCTTTACACACAGTATCATTAACTATTTTATTATAACGTTCAAAATTTGCTACTGGTGGAGGCAGGTTCACGATGGCACTGAAAATTTCACCTGCAGCATGGCCCTTTCTTATACATCTCAGTGCATATAATGATCTAAGATTAACTTGATACTGTCCATTTCCTGAAGTGAGAGAAGTAAAATAGTTTTTATTCAGTCCACATGATGTACAAGATAGAACTGACTTTGAAGCCCAACCTCTATGAAACTGCACATCTTCCCTGATTTTTAATTGACCAGTTTTACATTCAGAACACACACTCTTTTCTAATATACTGTTAATTATTGCCATGGAAATAAGCTTGTAATGCGATAAGTTTTTCAAATTTTCACTTTCACATGATACAAAAATGTCTTATAATTTGCTTGAAGTTCCACTAACATTACTAACCTCATTCTCATCTATATTTACATTAAAACTATTTTCTTCAGAGTTTCCACTATCACAAACATTTATGGTATCTCTATTCGGTATATTACCATACAATTTCCTTTTTTAGACCAACGAGATTCACCATGTGGCATTTTGAAAAAGATAATACAACTTTCACAAAGAAATCTTTGAGGAACCAAAGCAAGGAGGGACATATTTGTAAATACTGCGGAAATAGCCTTCATTTCTTTTCCAGACAGGCAACCCACCAGTCTAGCCTACATACGACACAAAACCCGCTAATTATAAATAGCCAATTCATTCCAAAACAGAAAAAAAAAGATGTAGTAGAAGGCGTGGCTTCCTAGAGCAGGCATTTAAATTTCTGGTAAGATGGACTTTAAATGCTTCGGGGGACGGGAGAAAATTTAGAATTTCGCGGAAAAAAAATACAGTGCGATTCTATGAACTATCGTTAGTTTAAAAACACAAAAACAAAAATTTCAATATTTTTAAAGATTTTTCATGTTAATGCCCCCTTAAATGTGTGTCTGACATGAAAATAATTCTTATATCATTGTGGTTCAAACATAAAGTAACTTACTTATACATACACTGTTTTAGAAAGTCTGCTTGTGAAGGAAGTTATGATTACTCTCACAGAAGAGGAGCAATTCAATTTTTTTTACATATTTTCATTCTTTATGTCCATGCCTATTTCAACTTACTAAGATCTTTGGATTAATCTGCATTTCATATAATACAATGCCATTCATATTTTGTGCGAACAAATAGCAAAACCTGAGATCTGAGTTTTTAATCATGAGAATTTAGACTGTATTGTCTGGGTTATCATACCATGTAGTTTTGCAGGAGGTAAAGCTGCATGATGCATAACACAGAAGACCACATTTTTTGCATTATTCATTAAAGAAAAAGTCGATACAGTATTGAGGTTTTTTGTCTCTAAGAACATGAAAAATTATTTTTGTGGTTGTGTATGCATAAGAATTTGATCTAAAGCTGAGATGACCTTAAACACATTATTATCGCTTTTCAGAACATAGCGGACAAACTTACTGATATATATGGATAAATACCGTCTTAAGTGCAACAAATTTTATTGTAGTTTTTACTTCTTTTCCTCCTCCACACTACATGTTTCGGCCCTAAATGGCCATCATCAGGTGTGTATCACTCACGTAGCTGTTACACTGCTTGTTAAAATTTAA